CACATCTAGGCTTGGGTAATTGGGAAAGCTAGACATGTCAGATGAGATTAAAGCAAGTACAGCACCATAGATTGTGTGTTAGTACGAATTCAGGAGGAGAATGCCTAGGAATTTGATGTCTATAATAAGCCTTGGACATTATGTTAGAGTTGCAAGAGATAAGTATGTCCTTTGTCCCCACCCCCTTAAACTATTATGCTCCTTAAGTATTAGAATACAGCTAATAATCATTTACAGGCTCTTAGATTCTCTGAAGATTCCCCCTGACACCCAAGACAAATGGGGCAAAATATAGTTATTTAATATGTTCCCTCTCCTCCTAGTGCTAAAAGCTTAAAAGAAGTCAAAGTGACTTCTTTTGCTGACCACTATGAAGAGGATTAAGTGAAGCCTATAGGACGTGTCCCTCCTCTTGTTGGATGCCGTCTCCTGATTCTTTTTCATCTGTTTCTTCCTGAGTCCTTTATACTACTACAAACTGACTGTTAGAATTTTGGTTGCCACTGATCCACTTTATGTCCAGATCTTTTTTTTTTTTTTTTTTTTTTAATTTATTTATTATTATTATACTTTAAGTTGTAGGGTACATGTGCATAACGTGCAGGTTTGTTACATATGTATACTTGTGCCATGTTGGTGTGCTGCACCCATCAACTCATCATTTACATCAGGTATAACTCCCAATGCAATCCCTCCCCCCTCCCCCCTCCCCATGATAGGCCCCTGTGTGTGATGTTCCCCTTCCTGAGTCCAAGTGATCTTATTGTTCACTTCCCACCTATGAGTGAGAACATGTGGTGTTTGGTTTTCTGTTCTTGTGATAGTTTGCTAAGAATGATGGTTTCCAGCTGCATCCATGTCCCTACAAAGGACGCAAACTCATCCTTTTTGATGGCTGCATAGTATTCCATGGTGTATATGTGCCACATTTTCTTAATCCAGTCTGTCACTGATGGACATTTGGGTTGATTCCAAGTCTTTGCTATTGTGAATAGTGCTGCAATAAACATACGTGTGCATGTGTCTTTATAGCAGCATAATTTATAATCCTTTGGGTATATACCCAGTAATGGGATGGCTGGGTCATATGGTACATCTAGTTCTAGATCCTTGAGGAATCGCCATACTGTTTTCCATAATGGTTGAACTAGTTTACAATCCCACCAACAGTGTAAAAGTGTTCCTATTTCTCCACATCCTCTCCAGCACCTGTTGTTTCCTGACTTTTTAATGATCGCCATTCTAACTGGTGTGAGATGGTATCTCATTGTGGTTTTGATTTGCATTTCTCTGATGGCCAGTGATGATGAGCATTTTTTCATGTGTCTGTTGGCTGTATGAATGTCTTCTTTTGAGAAATGTCTGTTCATATCCTTTGCCCACTTTTTGATGGGGTTGTTTGTTTTTTTCTTGTAAATTTGTTTGAGTTCTTTGTAGGTTCTGGATATTAGCCCTGATAAGTTCTTTCAGAAATAACTGTGACTCTGACTTGGAAACTCTCAGCAACCCCCAGATTTCCAAGAAAGTGATACTATATTACATATCTATTTTTTCTCTGTCCATTGATTAATATATTAAATGAGATCATTTATATTCATCCTAAGAAATTGTCTGAAGTGAGCAAGAGCAGCACATAAATGGCTAGTACCTTTGGCCTATTAATTTTCTAGGCACCTGAACTGAACACCGGAATCTTCACTTCAGAAAATGTTAACTTGGGTCATATCAGCATTTAAAAAAGAACAACACAGTGATGTACTTTACCAGCATTTGCATCCATAAATTAATATTTTTGTATCTTTCATTTCTGAATTACAGAAGGAGATTCATCAAAGGCTGAATGATAGCTCTTACAAGTGACTGACCCAATGTTAAAACTGAGTACAGGGGAAATGCTCTGTGTTTTAACTGGGCAAGGAAGCTTGCATAAACCATTCATCATGAAAATCCTCCTCACTGAGGTGCTTCTCCCTCTCTAACCCTCTGTCCCACAAATTTCTCCTTGATCATCTTTGTACCTTTTATAAATATCTGTTATTGCACTTATGAAACTAGATGATAACTAGACACATATTTGGCACTATGTCTAGACTGTCAGCTTCTTGAGCAGGTTTACTTTAATCATCTGGTGCCAGGCAGTAGAGCAAAGTAGTTAAAGAGGGCAGGTTCTGGAGGCCAACTGGATTTCATTTCTGACTATTTACCAGCTGTATGATCTTAGGCAAGTTACCTATCCTCAACTTATTCATAAAATCCAAATAATACTTCCCTCATGGAGTTGCTGGCAGGATTAAATACAGATTTTTCTAAATTATAGGCTGAAAACTGTTAGGAAATTTTTTGACATGAAGGAATTCCGTACTTAGTGCCAATTACTGCTAACCAGGAACAAAGCAGAGGGAAGTGGACATCTGAATATATCATTGCAGTGCTAAAAACCTTGCACACTGTTCCAGGCCTCTCCTCTTGTCTTTATTGATAGTTTAGCTCAGTGGTTTTTAGTATGAATCCCACATCTTCTCAAACATGTACCCCTCAAATCTACTAGCCCCCAATATCCACACCTGGTTTAGAAGTGTGTGTAGGCATCCTGTTTGTCACAGTGACAGGCAGCTGCTACTGACATTTAATAGGTGAAATCATAAATGGGCCCAGGGATGCCATGGGCTCAGAAATGGAGAGCATAGTCTACACCAAAAATTATTCCACCCAAAATGCCAATAATATCTTACCTTGAGAAACACTGGTAGTGCCCAGGTTCTTTTCTCTACTTAAATGCAAAAACAACTTTTCACAAAATTAATATACTATTTCATAAAGTCAGGATATGCCAAAGATCATGCCATATATATTACAGAGCATAGACCAACTTGGAAAATCTTTACATGTGTATTCTGTTATTTCTGTCTTTTCTGTGTATAAGTTCTTTTCAAGTTACTATAGTAAGTTTCAAATTTGTTACTTAAGAGTTCCATTATTCCGTTAATTATGATCTGAAGTTTAAGATCTGTGGTGTTGAAAAGCACTGCAGCTCCTAAATATACAAAACGCTTGAACTCCTAAATGTACAAAGATCTTGTTTGGGCCAGGCATGGTGGCTCACACCTGTAATCTCAGCACTTTGGGAGGCTGAGGTGGGAAGATTGCTTGAGCCTTGGATTTTGAGACCAGCCTGGGCAACATAGTGAGACCCTGGCTCTACCACAAAAAAAAAAAAAAAAAAAAAGAAGAAGAAGAAAAAGAACGCTAGGCATGGTGATGTGCCCCTATAGTCCCAGCTACTCAGGAAGCTAAGGTGGGAGGATCACCTGAGTCCAGGAATTCGAGGCTGCAGTGTGCTGTGATTGCGCCACTGCACTCCAGCCTGAGCAGCAGAACAAGACCCTGTCTCTTAAAAAAAAAAAAAAAGATGATTGAGTTTGATAATCAGGAAACTTAACCAAATCTTATATGTAAGCAAATAAATATGTTTTTATTTGTTTTGTTTTGAGACAGGGTCTCACTCTGTCATCTAGGCTGGAGTGCAGTGGCATGATTTTACCTCACTGCAACCCAGCCTCCCAGGCTCAGGTGATCCTCCCACCTCAGCCTCCCAAGTAGCTGAGACTACAGGCATGTACCACAATGCTCAGCTAATTTTTGCATTTTTTATAAACACAGGGTTTCACCATGTTGTCCAGGCTGGTCTCAAACTCCTGAACTCAAGTGATCCAGCCATCTTGACTTCCCACAGGGCTGGGATTATAAGTGTGAGCCACTGCACCTGGCCAAAATAAGTTTTATTAGAAATAACTCACTTTGGGAGGCTGAGGAGGGCAGATCACTTGAGGTTAGGAATTCAAGAGCAGCCTGGACAACATGGAGAAACTCCATCTCAAATAAAAATACAAAAATTAGCTAGGTGTGGTGGCGTGCAAAAAAAAAAAAAAAGAACTAATGCATGTGAAATTCAAATATTAGTAAGTATTCAAAATCAGATATGAAAGTAAAAATGCAAAATAGGGTGATATCACTAGTTGATATGATTAGTGAGATGAAGATTATTAAGGCAAATTCATCTAATAATTATTGATATACAACACAATTAATATATATTCCATCTACAAGAATCATATATACAAATATGAAATAAACACCTTAAATGAGAAGAAGACAGAAGACATGGAGAATGAAATCTTCCCCTCCCATATCTCCAACTGAGGCCAGCATGACTAATATTGAGAAAGAGTAAGGCAAATGAGTAATTATTGTGCTCTTTTACTGTTATTGAAGGTCACTGTTTAGCACTCCCTCGCCATTCCTCTACCACTCCCCTTTGCCTCAAACTCATTAAGCTCTTTTCTTTGTATTTCCTGATAACAGCTGACAAGGACCCACTCTCATCTGTAATGACAGTTGAGGGTATTGGTGATAAGTAGAGTTAATAAAGCTTCTCCAGTGATTTAGAACTATAACCCTCTGAGTATTATCATGAGGGGAATAGATGAAAAAGCCCATTTCATTTCGTGCAGTGTCCTTCAAACTGCTGATTATGAAATCATTTTAGAGGGTCTGAGAACTAATTGTGGAATTACAATGAAACATAATAGAAAATATCAGTGGACACTGTGAGAGATCAGTCAGAGTGGTGGGGAAAAACTACAGGGAAAGGACGCAAACCTTCTGAAAGGTCAGAAGGTTCTGCAGAGCCCCAGGGGAGAATAGCTGAAGACAGCTCTTCTATAACCCTGAGGCATTGGGCAAGGAGTAGGTACAAGAGAGTGTAGGGGAATTTATCTTAAGCTTGTTTACTTATGTTGACCAGGAACTGACCTTTGATCATCCATGGGGACATTCTCCCTGAAAGGGGAACAATAAATGTTAATTACCTACAGGTTGTTTTTGCTCCAGGCTTTTGGCATTGTGCCTGCTCTGAATAAAAGCAAGTAGCTCCAGCTTCTTGGGGCTGCTCTCTGGTGACTAGAGCCAGGCAGTCACCTAGCTGCTCTTACACTGCATACCTGTGTCCGAGTACTCATTTCATCCATCGGCCAGGGTCTGTGGGACAGACCCAGCAGACACACAGATCCTTGGCAGGAACTGGGTACAACTGGTGCAACCAGTTGCCATTAGTGATCTGAGGGAGAAAGCAGAAAGGCACTGAGTGAATCTATGCATGGGCTGGGGTGGACTTGTTTTTATTTTTTTGCTTGCTGTCTAGTTTGGTATTCTGGTATGTATGTATGTGTGTATGTATTTTTTTGTGAGATGGAGTCTCGCTCTGTTGCCCAGGCTGGAGTGCAGTGGAGTGATCTTGGCTCACTGCAAGCTCTACCTCCTAGGTTCATGCCATTCTCCTGCCTCAGCCTCCCAAGCAGCTGGGACTACAGGTGCCCACCACCACTCCCAGCTAATTTTTTATATTTTTAGCAGAGATGGGGTTTCACCGTGCTAGCCAGCATGGTCTCGATCTCCTGACCTTGTGATCTGCCTACCTCAGCCTCCCAAAGTGCTGGGATTACAGGCGTGAGTCACCACGCCCAGCCCCAGTATTCTGATATTTATAACATAAGGTTAATAGTCTATAGTTGACTTTATATTGACATAATTTGCAGTTGGTTGTAAAATAAAGAGCAGAGGAGTTCTTATATTGTCTTAAGCAAAAGTGTTAAGACTTTCAACTGAGTTTTGTTTGTAAACATTTAGTAGCTCAATTAATTGTAGTTATTTATAATATGTTGTTTTAGTTTCCTATTGTTTCCATAACAAATAACTACGAAGATAAATCTTTTAGTATATAATTTTGTACAAGTCTGAGTCTCACTGGGCTAGGAATGAGGGTGTTGGCCAGGCTGCCTTCCCTTCTGGAGGTTCTTTGGGAGAATCCATTTCCTTGCCTTTTCCAAGCTTCTAGAGGCTGCCTACATTGCCTTACTCATGGATCTCTCCCCGTGTCTTCAAAGCCACACAGAATTTCTTTGATCCTTCTGCAGTAGTGATATCTGAATGAAGTCCCGAAAGGTTCTCTTCTTTTAATGACTCACATGATTTCACTAGGCCCACTCAGATAATCTAAAATAACCTTCCCATCTTAAGGTCCTTAACCTTAATCACATCTGCAAAATTCATTTGACCATGTAAGGTAACACATTCACAAGTTCTAGGGATTAGAATTCAGCCATCTCTGGGAGACCATTTTCTGCCTACCACAGTTGTCTATGTTGATTCCAAATGGAATGTTTTGTTGGAAAATAAATGTATATAAAAAAATTAGTTGATTTTGGTTGGGTGTGGTGGCTCATACCTGTAATCCCAGCACTTTGGGAGGCTGAGGCAGGCAGATCACTTGAGGGCAGAAGGTTGAGACCAGCCTGGGCAACATAGTGAGACCCCTGAGTCTTTTTTTTTTTTTTTTTTTTTTTTTTTTTTGAGACGGAGTCTCGCTCTGTCACCCAGGCTGGAGTGCAGTGGCCGGATCTCAGCTCACTGCAAGCTCCGCCTCCCGGGTTCACGCCATTCTCCGGCCTCAGCCTCCCGAGTAGCTGGGACTACAGGCGCCCGCCACCTCGCCCGGCTAGTTTTTTGTATTTCTTAATAGAGATGGGGTTTCACCGTGTTAGCCAGGATGGTCTCGATCTCCTGACCTCGTGATCTGCCCGTCTCGGCCTCCCAAAGTGCTGGGATTACAGGCTTGAGCCACCGCGCCCGGCCGACCCCTGAGTCTTAAAGAAAAAATAGGCTACAACTGGGCATGGTGGTTTACGCCTGTAATCCCAGCGCTTTGGGAGACCGAGACAGGTGGATCACCCGAGGTCAGGAGTTCAAGACCAGCCTGACCAACATGGCGAAACTCTGTCTCCACTAAAAATACAAAAATTAGCCAGGTGTGGTGGTGCATGCCTGTAGTCCCAGCTCCTCGGGAGGCTGAGGCAGGAAAATCACTTGAACCTGGGAGTCAGAGGTTGCAGTGAGCCAAGATTGCACCACTGCACTCCAACCTGCGTGAGAGAGTGAGACTCCATGTCAAAAAAAAAAAAAAAAAAGAAAGAAAGAAAAAACATAGTACAACGTGTATGGGCATGGCAAAAATAATGAAAGTGGTATCCAAATGACTAAAGTTTGGGAAACCCTGCACCTGAGAGGTGGCCCAGTACCCGGAAGGAGGAGAGTGCAGGCCAGAGAGGCAGTGGATCCACCCAGACTCCCATTTGCTCTGCTGCAATCAGGTGGCTCTGTCCAAGACTCTAGCCACATTTATTCAGTTTCTTCATCCCAAAGAAGGGATTTTACCAGACAAGTAGTCTCCAAAGGTTCCTCCAGCTTCAATTTACTCTTTCTGTGTAAATGGATATTTATGTTAGGAATTTCAATGTCAGGGCCAAGCACAGTGTGAAATATAAACATTACAAACTATTTAAAAGGTGAAAACACTGGTTCTGTCTGTAAATGCTGCCAAATGTAGTGTCAAGCCTGCAATGTCAAGCCTTGGTTGATTATTTAAATGACTGCTATCATACTTGTTAGGGGTTGTCTTGCCATGGATGGATATCCTTTTTTTTTTCTTTTTCTATTTGTTTGTTTGCCTGTTACTAATACCATTTCAAAGTAGTGAATGCTATTCATTAGTTGCACACATAAAACAATTATAGATTCTTTGAGAACATTTCTTGAACTTAGGAAATACTGGAAGGACAGAGCATGGACAGTTGGTGGAACAGGACCTCAACATTAGGTAGACATTTAAAAGGACTGGTGGGTTTTTTTTTTTTTTTTTTTTTTTTGAGACAGAGTCTTGCTCTGTCGCCCAAGCTGGAGTGCAGTGGCGCAATCTCGGCTCACTGCAAGCTCTGCCTCCCGGGTTCACACCATTCTCCTGCCTCAGCCTCCTGAGTAGCTGGGCCTACAGGCACCCGCCACCACACCTACCTAATTTTTTTTGTTGTTGTATTTTCAGTAGAGACGGGGTTTCACCATGTTAGCCAGGATGGTCTTAATCTCCTGTCCTTGTGATCCGCCCACCTCGGCCTCCCAAAATGCTGGGATTGCAGGCGTGAGCCACCGTGCCCGACCTGGACTGGTGGTTCTTAGCACATTCTTCAAGTACACCGTTATTTACAGGATGTTTCAATCCTGATAACTCTTAGTGACTTTTTGTTCTTTTAATTAAAAGTACATACTGAAGAGATTTTTTTTTTTCTTTTGAAACGGAGTTTCACTCTTGTTGCCCAGACTGGAGTGCAATGGTGCAATCTTGGCTCACTGCAACCTCCTCCTCCCAGGTTCAAGTGATTCTCCTGCCTCAGCCTCTTGAGTAGCTGGGATTACAGGCATGTGCCACCTCACCCAGCTAATTTTGTATTTTTAGTAGAGATGGGGTTTCACCATGTTGATCAGGCTGGTCTCGAACTTCTGACCTCAGGTGATCCGCCTACCTCAGCCTCCCAAAGTGCTGGGATTACAGGCGTGAGCCACTGTGCCCAGCCCTGAAGACGTTTTTAAATTTCTTTCTCCAGTAAGAAAAATTTCAAACTTCTGTATCCCATTCAGTATTCCCTAAAATAAAATCAAGTTTGTCCTGAAATATGGTTTTAAAAACTGAAAATCTATTTTCTTTGATTACCTCATAAATAACAAGAGTTTCATATCAGCTCTCCTGTCTCTTCCTCCTCCACCCTTTTCCTCCCTTTCATGTTGTGCCAGTCACACAGGTGGATGCTCAGTATCACCCCACAGCACAAGATAAATAAGCTTGGAAGGTTTCCTAGCAACATATTGTTCTGGGAACCTGCTCTGTTTCCCTGAACAAGATGAAGCCAAATATCCTAGAATCTCAGCCAGATGGGAAAGGATTAGCTTATTGAGAGTGTTACTGCCTTTTTTTTTTTTTAATATTTCACTTTGAAATGAACCTCTTAATATAAGTAGTAAAAGTGACTTTTAAAAGGGCACATAAAAATATCTTTTTAAAAGAACATTTTTTTCTCTTACATATAAAAAAAATATTGATAATAGTTTGAAGTTTAAAAATATGGTTTCAGAATTCTCTAAGCACAAGCTTCCAGTATGTAATTCAGTCACTGGTGAGTGGATCCATTTTAGAACCATGTAGAAAATACTTCCACATGGGACTAATACTCAGCCTGGTGTCCAGTGGTATGGTATTCCTGCTGTAAAAATACTGAAATACTTCTGATCTGGTGGGAAAATGGCTCCAGGGGTAGGCTGTCTCCTCACAATACCTTTAGCTGCTCCCCTTGGCCCTTGCATCTGGACCTAGAGAAACACTGGAGACACCTTGTCACTCCTTAAAACCCTGAAGCTTCCCCTTTTTCTATAACTCCAGGACTATTTTAGTACTAGTGATTTACAACTTCATCTTCAGAGTCTATTTTTGGTTTTCTCAGTGTATGATTGAAGTATATAGAGAAAATAAAACTGAAAGAAATTGAGACTGCTATCAAAGCCAAGAAAAATAATGTCATTGTTGTTTTGTTAACACATGATCGTGTATATTTCCCTTGTTTATCTAATGATCTGTGAGGCTACACAGTTGGCAGCTGGTGCTTTCCTTTCTGTTGCACTCTAGTTGGTCACAGTATACTTGTTAGAGGTCTCTGGAGATGGAGTAATAAAGGATTCTTGTTTCTTATAACAGTATTCAGCAGTGGCTTTGCAATTCAGTTTCACCCTGGGAAATGTCCTCACTCATTGTTTGGCTGGGGAGACATTCCCCCATCAGCCAGATGACTATTCTCATAATGTGGTTGTTGACTGGTTTGTGTCATCTATCAGGTTTGGACTGAGTTTGTGAAACTTCCCAATTGTGGTCGGAAGCTGATAATTCTAGTACTTTATAGTGTTCCTGGATAGGAAAAACAAAGTAATTAGAATAAGATGGGAATGACACCTGGTGTCTTTGTTTTTATGTAACAAATGATTTGGCCAGATGCCAGAGAATTAATGCTGTCCTCATTTTGATGAAAATAAGGAAATTGTGAGATAATTTTATATTCATGCTAGGTGCTTTCCATTCTCTTTTGCTCTCTCACTCATATGTATATGTTTTCTAAATACCATATTTTAAGCTCAACAAGGAACAATCTGTTGAGGGCCTAGTATGAGCCAAATACCACTGGGTATTATGGCAGATACTGAGGGCAACACATCATCCTTTCCTTCTCAGAATCCGCAAGAAGTTTGCAACATAGCACGTTTGTAATCGTAAACCAAACAAAAACATTAAGGAAAGGTTTTGATGTTTAAAGGAATCATGGGCTAGGCACAGTGGCTCATGCCTGTAATCCCAGTGCTTTGGGAGGCTGAGGAAGGAGGATCACTTCAGCCCAGGTGTTTGAGACCAGCCTCGGCAACATAGCCAGACCCTATCTCTACAAAAGTTAAAATAAAATAAATAAGTAAAGGAATTCACTTTGTCCAAAGAAAGACTAAAAGTATATTTAATATGTATTATGGAACAGAATAAGTTCTAATACCTTAATTTTGATTGAATACTTGTTTTTAAAAAAATTTTAAAATGTCCATGAACCAGGCATTGTTTTAGATACCTCTCTGTTAACTCATTTAATTCTCCTGACACCATTATGAGGTAGAAATTTTATTTACCTGCTATTTTTTAGACGAAGAAACTGAGGCTAGGAGAGTTTTTTTGTTTGTTTGTTTGTTTTAAAAGACTGAGTCTCATTCTGTTGCCCAGGTTAGAGTAAGTGGCCGTCATAGTGCAGTGCAGCCTGGAACTTGTCCACTCAAGCATTCTTCCATCTCAACCTCCCAAGTAGCTGGGACTATAGATGTGCACCACTGTCCCCTAAGAGAGGTTAAATATCTGTTTATTGAGGGCTTTTATACTATGCCGTGCTTATTTGTTTATTTTTAAAATTTGAAGAGTCCATAGGATTCTAGTCTTTTTTCAGAAAAGAGTAAACTACTGTCTTTTATGGATGACATAATTTTCGCAAGAAATAAATGAGTTGTTTAGATGACTTTCTATTATCTCATACAGCACAATGATTCTGTATTTGAGTTTTCATTGTCAAACAGTAAAACCTTTCAGTATACTAACTCCATTTTAGAATATTTTTCTTTTTCCTTTTTTTTTTTTTTTTTTTTTTGAGACCGAGTCTCACTCTATCACCTAGGCTGGAGTGCAGTGGTGCAATCTTGGTTCACCACAACCTCAGCCTCCCAGGTTCAAGCAATTCTCATGCCTCAGCCTCCAGAATAGCTGGGATTACAGATGCCCACTACCGCGCCCAACTAATTTTTGTAATTTTAGTAGAGATGGGGTTTTACCATGTTGGCCAGAGGCTGGTCTCAAACTGCTGACCTCGAGTGATCCACCTGCCTCAGCCTCCCAAAGTGCTGGAATTACAGACATTAGCCACCATGCCCAGGCCATTTTAGAATATTTCTTGTAGCTAAATTTTTTACTTGTATAAAATAATAATTTTCATTTTAAACATAATAGAAGGATATGAGTGAATTATACTTAAGAAAGTTAAAATTAATAGCACTATTAAATACATTAACAAGAGAAGGTTGTGACATCAGCAATATTATATATAACAGAGGTGGACAAACTGTAGCCTGTTTCTGTAAATTAAGTTTTCTTGGAACACAGCCAGACTCATTTGTTTAGGTATCACTCATGGCAGGTTTTGTGTAATAATGACAGAGTTGAATCTTTGCAACCTAGACTATGTGACCCACAAGGCCTAAAATACATACTGCCTGGACCTTTACAGGAAAAGTTTGCCAACCCCTACTCTGGAGTCTGTATTTTTCTCCTAACTTTGAGTTGGGCATGTTCCCTTAGAATGCCAGAAATTTAGCAAACACATCTGAATTTTTTTTTCATAAATGGCGCCCTTGTCTAACATGGTTTTCCTCAAATCCCTGCAGGTACCAACCAAGAAGCTGAAGAAATATGAGAAAGAATATCAGACAATGCGAGAGAGTCAGCTGCAACAGGAAGACCCAATGGATAGATACAAGGTATGAGAAATATGTTGCACCTATCAACGTACCTTCTTTTTTATTTTAAATGAGACTGAGTCTTGCTGTGTTGCCCAGGCTGATCTTGAACACCTGGCCTCAAGCAATCCTCCCACTTCAGTCTCCTAAGTAACTGGGATTATAAGCACGAGCCACCATTCCCAGTAAAGTACCTTTTTTTTTCTTTTTTTTTTTACTTAAAGCAGCAGTTGTGGCAAGTTCAATTCCCTCTGTTCCTCCTCGAGTGATTTAGACACTCTCTGATCATGCTAACTGTCCAGGTATGTTTTCATTTCAGGAGACTCCCAAATAGCCAACCATAATATTTCTTTTCTTTCAGTTTGTATATTTGTAGGTAACTCCAGCTGTTGCATTTATACTGGGAATCTTCATAAGAAGCTGAGAGAAAGAGAGGGGAAAAAGAAAGTGGCTTTCTACTTTCAAAAATGAAACAAAAAGGAAAAATGGCAAAGTACTGTTTTATCTGTGCATGGTCATATCCACAAAGACTTTTAGCAGGTGAACTGTTCCAAGACTGACACAAGGATGTTTCAAACTTGCTCTATCTGTAGCAAATGTTAAAAATACCAACTCACTTGGAAGGAAAAATAAAAATCACAAAGGTATATTGAGCACAGTAATGGTGTTTGTTGCAACATTTATTTCCACAAATGAATTTTTGAACAACAGTGATATTTGACTTATAGTATGAATTTCAGAATCAAAATAATTTCATTTTAATATGTTCGTTAATTGTGAATCTCTTCAATGGTAATTAGCAACACTTCCCAGGATGCAATGTTGGGAAACACTTATTTCCAACTTATTTTTTTCCAAGTAAAATATTGTCTCTCTTCAACATGCTTTAATTTTTCAGACTCATACAGATACATAATAGCTCCTTCTCCCTCCACATCAATACACTAAGATAAAAGAATACTGTATTTTCAGCACCGAGCAGCAGTGCCGAAATGTCCTGCCAATAAATGGACTGTGTGGCATTATTAATTAAATCACCCACATTGGGATGACCTCCACTTTTGTAACTAGAGTTATCTTTATGTGGTCAGAGCTGAACATAGGCAGCATAGTCACACAGAATATCTTATCTCTGTTGCTGAATTGAATAACACGGGATGTGTACAGAGGAACATGGTAGGAGTATGTAGATTTTGTAGTCAGACAGACCTGAACTCAAATCTTGCTCATTTTTTTAGAGCACAGGATTTGGACTCCATATTGAGGGTTTTAATCCCTATGCCACCATTCAGCATCTTGGACTAGTTATTGAACCTCTTCCTTATCTGTAAAAGATATAGTGTATCTGCTTCCTTGGTGGATTATTACAAGGATGAGGGATGCTGTATGTTAAGGACTCAGCTCATAGTTGCATTCAATAAATGGCTGTTATTTTATGAAGCCTACTACTACAAATTATGCAATTATTACTAGAATAATGCCAACTTATGTGGGTCTTCCCGTCTAGTCCCTTATTGATTGTTCTCCTTTCTCTCAAGTGTTGCCAACTAATAATCTCCCCTTGCTTATAGAAGTGGTTCAAGATCTGATGATAAAATCCCACATACTTCTCTATAGCAGGTAACTATTAACAGATAAGGTGTTTACAGATAATGTTTGAAGCTAATTTTCACCACTAACATCCCCTCAATAAAACCAACTTTTAATGTAAATCACATGGCATGCTGCTTTAGAAAGGCTGGAAGGTAGTAATTATAAACTATTATTAAGCATCCAAAATGAAGCTCTCCTTTTGCTAACATCATTCTGATTTTCTTATTACTACCATTGTTGTGAATAAATTCTGTGAAGAATGCTTTAAAATAAGAGAGAAATGGAAGACCAAATTTGTACATTTAAAATCAGGCTGGAATTGAACTTGTTATTGTGTCTTAAATCATTTTTTGTGCCAAAGCAGGTATGTATACATTAATAGTAAGATGTACATTATTTTTAAATTACTTATAACATGTAAGATTATCAGTTAGTATAGTTTTTATTGAGAGATCAAAGTAGGATTAAACTTTTTGTTTTGAAAGCAGGCATTACTTTTTAAGTTCAAGTATTGTTGCTTCTTATTTGCACTTATCTGATACCCTCTATCACTATTTCTTTTAGATTATTGTGGTAACTTGTCAGTACATTCATCTAATGTCTCTATACTCTTTTAATAATGTCTAGGCATTTGTCCTGGTAATACACTTGGCAAATTTATAGTTCTTAGATTATAATTACACCTTCAAGGTGGCAGTCAACAATATAAGTTTCTAACCATCAACATATTTGGTTTTTAAGATGATCAATATGTAGTTTAAGAAGCCATATTATAATTATCTTAATTAAAGTAGCAAAGTTAGAAAATACCTTTTACATCTTCTAAGTTTAATCCTGTGAAGAATAAGATCTCTGTCCTGGGAATGAGCACTTTATAATTCATAGATCTTGGACTGGGAACCCAGTTAGTGTAAACTCTTAAAGACTGACTTGGGAACATGTTGAGGGCATCGAGTGAGAACTTGCACCAGTTCAGTGACAACCCCTCCTCAACATTAGAATCTATATTGCTTGAAAAGTCATTTCCACACCCTAGCTTGCCATATGACAAGAGAGTTAGGAAGGTTGTGGGAATTTATTTTTTAAAGCCCACATATGTTATATAATAAGATATTTTAAGAGGTATTTCAGTTCAATGCTATTTCTCTTAGACATGGTGGCATATGTAAAAGGGCTATCACAGGGAACCTGGAGGTGGGATTAAAGATCCAACAATGTAGATGTAGCTCTCAACAGTCATATTTCTTGCTATATCTATGTAAACATGTGTTTGATGTCTATTTTTATGACATATGTAAATATCTTCATGCTCAGGTTATATCGCTGTAGTCACCTTTATTCAACACTTAAATCTCAACCACAAAGAAAGAGATGAAATAATGTTAGTATAAATTTAAATTTTAAAACTCCACATACCATGAAAATCTTCTGGAATTAGGAAGTAGTGATGATTGCACAACTTTGTGAATATACTAAAATCATTACATTGCACATTTTAAAAACATGACTTTTATGGCATGTGAATTACATCTCCAAAAAAAAAGCAGAATATTCCAGGAGGATTGTCATTTAGGCTACCCTTTTCCTTTCATGAACCCTAAGTCACACCAGAGGTACTTGTTTAGAAGCTTTGCAGGAGGGAGAGCTTCCTGTTGAAATTAGAGCTAATTAGTGACTATTGATCTTATATGTGTTCATATTTGCAGAATAAAAGCCAACACAGTGGGTGGTACATTAGTTTTTAGTGAAGCCCATTAATTTCCAGATAGAACATATGTTGTACATTGTATGTATACACACAGATATAAACATATATACGTAGGTCATACACACATATACATGCACTGCCTGTGCTACCTGGGCTTGGCATCGGTTTATATTTTAAACTCAGTGAACACCATAATGACTGCTCTATAGCCTTTATTCTTTCTGTTTCTCTTCATGACTAGATTCCAGGAGACAGAAAGGAAACTTTTTTGGAAGAACAATGTAGAATATTTATTTCAAATCTCTTTTATCTTCCTTCTTAACTTGGACCTGACCAGATTTGTGTAAAATTCTTTATCTACTCTAATATTTTGGTTTGTAAATTTAGTGATTGATTTCTAATAAGCTGAAATTAGGATAACGATTTGGCTGTAGAAATAAGCATGTTTTCATTTTTATACAGGTTCCCCAGAAAACACACATTCATCAATATGTGTAGCTGTTTTTAGTGTATTTTAGAAACTAGTAACTAAGCCCTTAATAAGCAAAGTTACCAATTTCAGAAATTAAAATTTTTTTTTTTTTTTTTTTTTTGAGACGGAGTCTTGCTCTGTCGCCCAGGTTGGAGTGCAGTGGCACAATCTTGGCTCACTGCAAGCTCCACCTCCTGGGTTCATGCCATTCTCCTGCCTGAGCCTCCCCTGTGCTGGGACTACAGGCGCCCACCACCGCACCCGGCTAATTTTTTGTATTTTTAGTAGAGACGGGGTTTCACCGTGTTAGCCAGGATAGTCTCGATCTCCTGACCTCGTGATCCGCCCATCTCGGCCTCCCAAAGTGCTGGGATTACAGAAGTGAGCCACCGCGCCCGGCCTTAAAATATTTTCTATCTTAAAGAGATGAATCGTTTCTATTGTGAGGAAAGTTTTCTAGTGATGGTATCAGTTGATGGTACTTTTTGGAGATCTGTAGCCTTCATCTACCTTTGGAGAATGATATGCTTTTCTGGTTTAATTAAAGAACTATTTGCACAAATGTGAGCTAAGCCTTAAAAAACACAGCTAATTGACCGGGCATGGTGGCTCTCGCCTGTAATGCCAGCACTTTGGGAGGCTGAGGTGGGTGGATCACTTGAGGTCAGGAGTTCCAGACCAGCCTGGCCAATACAGTGAAACCCCACTTCTATTAAAAAATACAAAAATTAGCTGAGTGTGCTGGCAAGCAACCGTAGTCCCAGCTACTCGAGAGGCTGAGGCATGAGAATCGCTTGAGCCTGGGAAGGGGAGGTTGCAGTGTGCCAAGATCATGCCACTGCACTCCAGCGTGGGCAACAGAGCCAGACTCTGTCTCAAAAAAAAAAAAAAAAAAAAAAAAAATGGCTGGGCGCGGTGGCTCACGCCTGTAATCCCAGCACTTTGGGAGGCGGAGGCAGGCAGATCACGAGGTCAGGAGATCGAGACCATCCTGGCTAACACGGTGAAACCCCGTTTCTACTTAAAAAAAAAAAAAAAAAATTAGCCGGGCGTGGTGGCTGGCGCCTGTAGTCCCAGCTACTTGGGAGGCTGAGGCAGGAGAATGGCGTGAACCTGAGAGGCGGAGCTTACATTGAGCCGAGATCATGCCACTGCACTCCAGCCTGGGCGACAGAGTGAGACTCCATCTCAAAAATAAATAAATACACACACACACACACACACACTCACAGAGCTAATTAATTAAAT